CAGTATAAGATACACTTGTACGCACAGGTCTCAACGCACGATTGTAGATATTTGCGGCCAAGCCGGCTATGAAAGCTGCGCTGGAGATGATGAACAAGCATAGGTTCTGTATACAGGTGGCTTGAGTATTGGCTTCGGTACTCCTCAGATAACGAATGTACCTTACGAAGCGGAGACCATGTTCGCGGATCGTCCTGAACCAACACATGCTCGATATCCAACGGAGCATTATCTAGCTCCTTCAGCTTCGCATGCGCAAGTGGTAGCTCCGAACTATCAGCGCTCGGTACAAGTTGATCATGAGCAGACAAAGTAGGAGTCCTCGAAGCAAGATCAATCCTCGGCGTCGTTATATTCGTATCGCCCGAGCCCTTCGTAGAAGCCATAATCGTGAGAGGTCGTCAAAAAGAAGGCGGAAGTGTGCGGGACATGTCTTTCCGTCGAGCGTGTTATATGTACGCATGGGATTCGGTAAAGTCGGCGATGGAAGTCGTGGTGGAGAGCGCTCGAGCAGCGAGAGGGTACCCGGTCCGGTTGATCAACCTTGTTCCGAGAGCTGGCTTCGGCCCATCATCGGCCTCCCAATATCCGCCGCTCACCGCGCGGTGTCCTCGAGCCGTTATGACGTGGGTCTAAATATATATCGCCATAGCAGCTTTGTAGGAAATTGGATGTGCTGAGTCTACTAATGGTACATGTGTACATGCCAGGATTATTGTACAAGCGTCCATTGACTCGAACGGAACTATGATAAGAGCAGAAGAAGAAGATCTACGCCACCATTCACACCTGCTCCCCTACGGCCTCCCGCAACTTCACACCCACCCGACAATGTTCAGGTTTCCTCAAGAATCCCTCCTGAACAGGAAGCACATCTGGCTTCGAGGCATCCTCCAGCACAAAGTCGTACCTCCTCACGACAGTCGCGATTATAACCGGGATATCCATCAACGCGAGATTACGACCAATGCACGCCCTCGGACCGAAAGAGAACGGGAAGAACGACTTGTTCGCCACGCTAGAGTCGATTTCGAACCAGCGTTCAGGTCGGAAAGACGTGGCGTCTAATCCCCAGATTGAAGTGTCGAGGTGGATGTCGTATAAGGGCACACTGAGGACTGCACCGGGTAAGAAAGTGTGACCGAGGACTTCGAGACCATCCTCTGGCACAACTCGCTCGAGCCCTTGTCCCAGCGCGGAATGAAGGCGCATTGTTTCGTTCACGACGGCCTCGAGGTAGGGTAAGGACTTGATCGAATCGTAGAGGGGTACCGGATCCGATTCGGTAGCGAGTGCATCGTCTAGTTCGCGCTGCAATTTGCGCATGCATTCGGGGTGGCCGCCGAGGTAGTATATCACCGCTGCGAGCGTATTGCCTGTTGTGTCGCTGCCAGCTAGCTGCAGGTCATTTGTGTGTTAAGGTTGAAACTCTGCGAACAGGTGAGACAACGCACCATGAGCGTTTGAGCCTCGGCTGTAAGCTCCTCGCTACTTATAGGCTTCCCATCATCGCCCACCCCCTCCTGCAACTTTCCCAAAATATCCACTCTATCCGGTGCCGGCATCGCGATGCGTCTCGCAATAGCAGCAATAGCCATCCTCGTAAGATCCTGTGACGCCTGATAACCCTTCGAGTACCACGGTAACGCGCCGTTCATCACGCTTCTCCAGAAAGGACGCAATACGCCTACGGAGGCTGTATGCGCACCGCGTTGGTGTAAGACGCGGACGGCTGGGATGTGGTATTTGATTGGGGCGGGTTGTTTCTCGCCGTAGAGCGTCAATCCGGATTTGGTATCTTCGACTACGGGCGCTGCGTCTTTGCCTGCTTCTAGCATGCCGAAGGGTTCGCCAAAGCATAGATCGCCGATGATGTCGAATGAAAGGTAGCTGAACCCTAAGAGCCTTACGTCAGCAAGAACGAACGACCAGATGACGATACATAAAGAAGAAGAAGAACGTACAAGGGAAACAATCGAACCAAACCCGTCCCTCCGCCCCGCGCCACTTGCCATCCCCTTCAATCCCACTAACACCAGGCTTTCCCTTCGCAATCAACCCATCCCACTTATCCAATAGCGTATGGAGATGCGATAGCACCAACGGCTGATACGCCTGTACACTCCTCATCGAGAACACATGCGCCACGAGCCGCCGTTTCCGAGCGTGCGCGGCGCGATCACGAGTGTTGAAAAGACCGGGCATAATGGTGACGAATACGTCGTAGAAGTTGGATTTGGAGATGTCGGAACCGTGTGCGTAGATTATGGGGATTGCGTCGCGAGAGGCGATGGAGATGTGGTTGGGCGCTATGCGGACGAAGGGGCCTGTCATGCACATGTCATTGTAAGTCTCAGTTCAGGGGAGAGGGAGTGTAGGGAGGACGTACCGTGCTGTTTGTGTAGTTCATGTATCGTCTCGCAACGATGTCCATGTGAAGCCGTCCAAGCCAACCACACATCAGAGAACCGCGCAAGCCACGGACCAGGGTACGCTCTCAACTTCCTCGCATCCAAAGCCCAAGGTACAACATGCGCCGCGACAACAAGTAAGACGACGAGGGCGATAGAAGACGTAGCGTCGAGGCGCCGTAGTAGGTCGACGATGACGCCCATGATGGCTTCGCCAGTCTTAGTTGAGGTATGATGAAAGGACTGGGCTGGGAATGCGGGGAAGGATGGACGATGCCCTATATGTAGTTGTCGCCCCTATTTCGGGGCACATGATCGTTCATGTTTCTCCCACTGCCAGCTGGTACAAAAGCTGGTCCGGATCTTGAGCGCTGAAGCGCGTCAGGCTGCGATGTGCTTAGGTCCAACGTTGAGATCACGTCCGTCCTGTACATGTGTGCACTACCGACCTTGGCGGCGCCTATGAGGGTTCTTTTTAGCTTTCGTGCGAGCTCAGGCTGCGTTTGAACTGCGTACCCAGGTTCGACTGGGTGATATAACGTTGTGCAAGCCGTTACTTTTGGAGCGTTCACGCTTATCCATCTGTTCCAGTGACTCTACTTGACTGTGGTCAATACGAAGGTAGGGCGGACATCAAAGGTGTTTGGCCAGACATAGCCTGGCCAGCGAAAGATTACGAACGCAGAGCACCCTTTTCTTCGAGCGTACAGATCGCAGTGGGTAGAATAGGCTCGTTAAGCATCGAACCGTCCGAACAAGGGAGTTCAGAAGCATGTCGCCCGGTCGCCGCGAGTTGTATTGCGGCTTCGAGCCGCACTTCTTCAGGAGATAAACCGACATGTCGTCATCTTCCCACAGCTCCTGGAACAAAGGACCGTATTTGGGAGATAATGTCGGGCCGGTAAAGGGAATGCATGAGGTGCAGGAAGTTCGCGGGTAGAGATATGAAGTCCGGACCGAGATGATAGCATTCTTCAGAGTGGTATAGATACAGAGAGATATTCCTGATAAATATTGTGAGTAGTATTATACACATTGGCTCTCCTTCGGTCGCCCACTGAAGGCGGTGAAGACCATGCCTTCTATCTGTATCCACGCTGAAAATCGAGATCTGCAGATACGTCTTCGCCAGAAGAGCCGTCATGGAAGACGTCTGCGAAAAAGAAGCGATATGAGTCCCGACAGGCGCTTTGCACCGGGAAAATGACGAGTGCGACTCACCGCTTCCTTCAGATTCGTAGTCCGAATCGTCGCCTTCATCGGGATAATCGTTCCTGTAGAAACCCTCGTCTAGACGCGTAGGATATGAGCTCATACGTATACGCGAAGATTTGAGAGCAAGAGCTTACCATTCGAGTCTTCATCGGCTTCATCACCTTCGACGCTCTCCTCGTCATCCGAATCGCCAGCATCGAAGTTCCCGGGTAACCCGGTGAGCGTTCCGACATTAACCGCCGGCAGCTCTTCAAGATCGTCCATCAACCCCGCGCGGTGATAGAATACGTCCCAGACGTAGTCTGGGTCGTCTGTGGGTGGTAGAGGTGCAGGAGCAGCGATAGGTACACCAGCAGACGAAGAAGCGGATGATTGTGCGGAGGGATCGATGTCGTGGAGGTTGAGATAATCTTGTAGAAGATCTTGGAATTTGGACATTTCTGGATCATCTTCCGTTGCTGGCTCCTTGGGCGCTTCAGACTCGAGCACGGCGTCGTACATCTTGAACGCCCCGGCTTGTTCAGCGTCTTTCGACGATGCCACCTTCGGACTAATTCATAGTCAATATTGTAATACGGGATTGGAGAAGGATAGACGCACGGCGTATTTGCTTGTTCGTGAAGTTGGGGTAATATCCTGTAATGCCGTGCGGACTTGGGTGGTGGTACATTCACGGGTGGCGACAGTAAGGCGTCTGTACGCTTGGTCCCGGTAGCTGGCTGCTCAGGACGCTTGATTGGTTGACGAGCAAGTGCAGAAACTCGCTCCTATACCGGACATTGATTATTATATCAAAACACGAAGGAAAGCGCCACACACCTGCACGACCCTCATCCTCTCCGCATCCTTCCACGCAGCTTCCTCTACAGTCTCTGCGAACTGGAACACATCCACGCCGCCCTTCGACTTCCTCCGTTTAGAGTTGACGACTTCACATTGTATATGAGGGTTGCGATCTGGATGAGGGGTGGTGTGACGCACCGAGTGCTTCGAGTGGCTCATCCGTGCGTTTACGCTTTATGCGGAGGATCGTATAGTCGCCACGCGTTTCGGTCTGTATGTTCTCGTCGACGTCCATGCTTATAAGTCAAGGGTTCACAAGCTCAGATGAGCAGAGTGCGAGCGTATGGGATTGCACGGTAAACAGCAGTGGTGGTTTCAGGTCAAGCTATGGCTCCTGACGGTCCCGGAACTTCCTGGAGGGCGTCGAACATGGTTCCATTATGATCGTTACTACATATGAGGAATGGAGCGAGGTGAATGAAGCAGACATCCGACGTAGACGTCAACGTCCAAGCAAATGGCAAGTATATTGCTGGTGGACTGCACCTGCATGATGGTAGAATATAGCCGTATTATTTAATAAACCTTCAATCCGGTATGGTGTAACGGCTAACATGGCTGCCTTTCACGCAGCAGCTCGGGGTTCGATTCCCCGTACCGGAGTTTGAGAAAATCGACAACTTTTTCTTCCTCCTGTACCCATCCCGCAACGCCACTTCATCAGGCAAACTCTGTTTGAGTGCAGACAAGTGTAGCCTCGCGTAGATAAGTGTACGTCGCCTGGTAGAAGCGCGATGTTATGTCCGTACGGCGTACGTGGATCGCCACCCGCAACTTAATATCGATGTATAAACTGCTTGGCTTTCTACCACCATCTCATATAATCTGTGCGAAATGTCCGATATCGATGTCCTCCTCCCGTCTCTTCAAGTTCCAGCTCTGGACCGCGTTCTGCACCACCGTTGAGCGCCATGAGCCAAGAAGCGCGTAAAGTGCCACAAATGGCGCTCCGTCTGACGGGTTCACTTGCGTCACCGCTCTGGCCTCCTTCGATGCCTCTCCACTCTACGCCTTACCTATATACCCCAGACCGAATGGCTTCGTAGACCTCAACTTCTGAACCCATCATGTCCTCTTCCAAGCCTGAGCAATTCGAGAAGGGTTTCAAACCCGATGCTACCGCTGAGAAAAGCGCGCAGGGCGGCGAGCCCGGTGCGAGGCCTCCTGGTCATCAGCATAAGATGCAGAGTGCGTACTCGCTATTGACTCTGGGAGGCTTCAACTAATGTAGCGTAGCTGAACCTCTGAACGACGTGTACTTTGATGGTACCCCGTACAAGCCCGCCGGCAAGCTCGAGGGCAAAGTTGCGCTCACCACGGGCGGCGACTCTGGTATCGGCCGTGCGTTTGTCGTTCTTGCTGCACTCGAGGGTGCAGACAGGTACGTCTATCCTGCATAGGCTCGCCATAACATATCTAATGGCTCTCGCAGCGCCATCGTCTACCTCCCCGCCGAACAAAAAGACGCCGAAGATACCCGCGCCGAAGTCGAGAAGAAAACCAACGGTCAACGCAAAGTCCACCTCATCCCCCTCGACATCAAATCCGAATCCAACTGTGTTAAAGCCGTCTCCGAGACCCTTTCCATCTTCGGTCGTATCGATATCTTATTCAACAACGCGGCGCAACAACTCGAGAACCACGATATCCTCACGCTCGATTCGAAACAGTGGGAGGATACGTTCGCCGTCAATATGCATCCGATGTTTTACTTCGCAAAGGCGGTTATCCCGCATATGAAACCTGGGAGCAGTATTATCAATAATGCGAGTATTAACGCGTATATTGGACGACCGGATTTGTTGGATTATACGAGTACGAAGGGGTCGATTGTGGCGTTTACGAAGGGGTTGTCGAATCAGATTGTGGGGAGTAAAGGGATTCGAGTGAATGCTATTGCCCCAGGTTCGTTCTTTCCTCCTCTATCTTGGAGCCGGCGATACTGATAGCTTCTCCAGGCCCTATCATCACGCCGCTCATCCCTGCAACATTCTCAGAGGACAATATGGCGGGCGTCGACAGTACGCCGATGGGACGGCCTGGGCAGCCTATCGAGTGCGCGGCGACTGTCATCTTCCTGTACGTTGACTCCTCTGTCCGTACAATCGTTAACGGGCTGACCATGTTCTCCAGTGCCAGTCGCGATTCGTCGTACATCACAGCGCAGACCATCCACGTCGATGGCGGCGCGTACCCCACGTAGGCTTGTGAAAGACATGTTGATATCATTGTAGCATAGACGTGTACTTGTATCGATTCAACGCTGATAAACGTGAATGCGCGCTGAACCATTAGTCTACCTTGGAGACATCAAGTTGAGCTGCGTTGCTCCTTCTGGGACAAGTACTGGGCGGCCTACGCGCCTGAGTGAGAGCCTCGACTGAAGCTTGCTTTGTGTTTAGAGTTTAGCATGGCGTACCTACTCAATGATGTTGTAGAACTCAGTATCGGATATGGTGTAACGGCTAACATTGCCGCCTCTCATTCGAGAGTCCGCGGCAGCTCGGGGTTCGATTCCCCGTATCCGAATAATCCAAGAGTTCTCGTTCATTTTTCCGAACGTCAAATGAGACTGTCACTCTGAACTTATTCCCGTCAGACCCGAGTACTCTGACCCTAACCCAGCATCCTGTGATAACTAGCCCACAATCAACGCCTCGACTTTGTTTTTATATGCCATTCATTACCATCTGAGAATGGGTGTTAATTATATGTTATACTCTACTCTCTCCCATATCGCACTCAGTGCATTGATCTCCACCAGTCCTCCTCAGTGTGCCTGGAGACTACAAGCCAGAATGTGCAACGTTTCGAGCCTTCCACCGCCCGCTCACAAAAGTGCCAAGACCTCACTGAACCGTCGCGCTACGTTCCTGTACGACGCGATTCAGCTGCATCCCTATACATGGATGCGTAAGTATATGAACCTTGAGAATGCACACGGTGCGACCGAACCTACCGATATAAGCACTGTGCGTCTCCCAAGCCTCCAAGATGCCTTGTAAGGCATCAAGGGCACCGTTGTGCGCGTGGGCGAGTTCGGCGTTTGCTGGTGTAGTTGCGCCATCGCTCAGCATCGCAGCGATCAAAGCGCGACAAGCAGCAGGTATGACGATCTGTCCGCACGGTGTATCAGTACATAGAGCAAGGCTTCCTGAATAGACGCCTACTCCAATAGCAGGTTCTAATAGCCCGCCCGGTTCGTTCTCTATAGGTTGTAGGACGGGCGCGACAACAGCCAGTGTGCGCGCGGCATTCATCGCGCGAAGGTCCCCTGGTATTCGCGAGTGAAGTTGAAGAGTAGCACCTCGTAGAAGGATGTGTGCGACAAGGACATCTCGTGGGGCGAAGACCGGAGGTCCAAGTGCCGTAGCAAAAGAGTTAATACGTTCGTCGAGAGCTTGTGCTTCTGGTCCATCTACATCGGATGGTTCGTCTGAGATGGGTATAAGGATGACGGCTGCGTAGGATAGATGTTGCATACCTTCAGCCATCAACGATGCTATCTGGGTTGCTTGTTCGAGAAGCAGCGTGGCCTTGACCGAGAGTGTTAACGGCAAGTCGCCATCCACCATAACTGGACCAGGCCCGCGCATGAAGCTGAGAGTATCATGATAAGTGTTTGGCTGCTCCGGCCAAGGCGTATACACGCTCAAGCCACCGTCTTGCCCCCCATTCGCGGTAAGTCGTGCTCTAGTCGGAGTACCCAGAGCCATAGCCCAGAGACGCTCCAAGACCAAGACCGTCCAGAACCCACGAACATACTCAGCACCCGAGGTCGGGTTAGGTGTTGGAAGAATCGGTCGCGGGGGCTTGAAGGTGGTAAGTGCTGTATCTGGCTGAGGTCGATGTAGTCCGAGAGCCAGCGCAAATGAGACGCCCTCGCTGAGAAGACTGAAGCCTTGCGTAAAGCGGCCGGAACGTAGTAGGTGTGCGCCGAGAAGAACATGAGCTTGCAAAACCTGCATAGAGCGCGCGGGTTGGCCACGGGCAGGTCCGATCTTAGAAAGTGCTGCATCAACGAGGGCAGTTTCGTTGAACGACGATGCCTGAGGGTGTGAAGCAGTCGCTGCACCAATGGCTAGAACCAGCGCTGGCAGAGCGCCGCTCGATTCCGAATTCTGTGAGCCGCGGGTAGCATGGAAGACGTCCGTATTCAGAAACCAAAGAGATTGATTTTGTGCAAAGAACAACCCGACACTGTACATGATCGAATGAGAAGCTGGAGATGATGCAACTAGCTAACGTACAGAAACTCCGTATCCCGGCGAGATAATTCGATAGCATTGCTCTCCGATGGAGTCCTGTATGCTGGAGATCACAATGAGTTGTATACCGTGGCGAGTGAAGAAGAGGCTCACACGATGGACCAGGCCCGCTATCAAGTAGCGCCGTGTCTGGATGACGGGGTGGCGCAGTCACCGGATGGCCCTCAGAGAGACTGGCCGACCCGGATGCGTGTTGAGCCTGAAGCTCTTTTACGCGGGCGCGCAAAGCAGCAGCTTGCTTCTCCAAAGCATGCGTAGAGCTCGGTGCACGAACCGCGACATATTCGCAGTCTTCGGAACGCTGTGCTTCCCGGCACTGTGTGCATACGGGTCTGGCGCCATCGCATTTCTAGTAGAGGTCAGTATGTACGCAGCACGTACACGTCTCACGCGTACAATCTTTCTCAGCCTGCAAGGCATTGGTGTCAATAACAGGACATGAGATAGCTTGGACAGATATAGAACCGACCTGCACGTCACACAAGCCTTCCCTTTTGGTAATGCAGGCGCCGAGTACAAATTGAAGACATCTTGTTGCCCGAGTTCAGCCATTGTGGTCTCGCGCTGGTGAAGAGAAGTACGGCGATGACAGCTTTGCCTGCGGGGGTCCGCTTTATATGGTCCCGAACGCCGCTTTGAAGCACACCGACATCCCCGCTCGAAGCGGCTCGGGCGCAGTCAATGCAATACTACTCATGCTTGGTCGCAGAAGCAATGCTGGTCCAAGCGTATCACATAATCAAGAGTAGTGGTGCGAGCCTGGGAGAATATAGCCAACTTCCATAGATAATGCCGACCGGGGCCGTTATCCTGTCCAGTCTGTAGTAAGGCGGAAGCAACGGAGCTACGATCCGCCAAGAACATCGCCACAGTCTTGTGCGCAAGCAGTCATAATATAGGTCTAGTAAAGACGAGAAGGATCGCAGACGATGGTGGTGAGCGGAAAGCAAGTCAGCCTGCGCGCGCGACGGCTGACGGGGCGCGTCAAACGCGCTTACGCGTCTCTCACGTGAGTTCTACTTTTGGTAGCGCGTTCAAGTTCGTCGGACGTATTTGCGGCTCGCCACCACCTCCCGTCTATGAACCTCAGTCATCATGAACGCCACCCACTGTATGAGGAATCGGATTTCGCCTGACATAAGCCTCGCAAGTAGTAAGTAAGTACGCCGCATTGTTCGCGATAGCTATTGTGAGTCATCATATTTGCTCTACGGCGCATTCCACTGGTTTATTCGTCTAAGAGTACATAGTTTGTGTACAGCGGTTCGGAACTCCGATCCAAAGGCATCTGATGTTGTTCTTCGTAACGTTCGCCCCAGCCTAGAACAGGCCCGCCCGTTCCTGCACCACCCGCTCAAGCTGAACTTCTGCGCGTCGGCGATGTTAGCTTGCGCGGCTCTTCAAGGAAAGCAATGCGCACGGATGAATGCGCTCTGTTGAGCCCACGTCTGCAGTGTTTCCTGAATGGCGTTGAGTGCGGCATCGACATCAGCAGATAGGTTAGGGTCGACGGCACGGCCGGCGAGGAGCGCGCGGGACGCCGCTGGAAGGATCATCTGTAATGAATGCACTCAGGAAGCTATTGGCTCATTAAACGACAAGTGGTGCTCACTGCCATTGCTGGCTCCAGGTAGCCCGGCGCAACTCCTGGGTTCCGAAGCAGCGTTGATATCCCCGCGAGTGCGCGTCCCGCTTGCATCGCGCGCGGGTCACCCGCAACCTCAGCGTGTAGCTGTAGCGCTGCACCGTGTACTAAGACGTGTGCAGGAAGTGTCCGAGGATCCGACTGTTGAACTGCGCCGAGCCCGAGCAGGAGCGCTTCAATACGTCCTTCGATGGCATATGCTTGCTGCGGATCTACAAGTGTATTGGGAAATCCGCCAGAAGGAGACTAGCGGAATGAACTGACCAGGAACCAGCGCCGTCGACACGCGGCTGGCCGCCTCAAATACGGCCGCGGCGGTAACGATGAGCTCCAACGCGTTGTCGCCGTTCCATACAGGCGCTGACACGGTGCCTGCGTAGAGGAATTCATGGAAAGGCGGAACTTGTGGCATAGGACCTGGAGGGACAGTCGCGACCTCGGGCGTCTGTGGCCAAGGCGCGCGCACGTCTGCTAGAGCTACGCGTGGAGGCACTCCCCTCGCCATTGCCCAAAGCCTCTCAAGTGTCGCAGCAACCCACGCAGCACCGGCGCGTTCCGCCGCTGCAATTGGCCCACTGGGCGGAGGTAAAGGCGCTTCGAGGATACCATCCAAGAACCCGACGTGTTGATGGGGCGGAACGTGCAACAGAAGAGTGCGCGCCAGGGCGCATGCGCCTGTAAGCACGTCGGCACCGTGCAACACTTCGCCACGGGAGAGGAGCAGGTTACCAAGGAGGATTCTGGCCTGCATCGATTGTAGCGCGAGCGTCCCATAGGCCGCCGTGCCCGCACCGATATCCACGTTGAGTCGGTCGAGAGCGCGGTCAATAAAGCCCGGAACTACATCGCGTGCGCCAGAGGAGACTGCGCCATACGCTGCGACAGCAGCAACTAGCGAGGGGTGAGCACGCCCTGGCTCGCCTTCTGGGAGGTCTGTCGATGCGATGAAAGAAGCACGATGTAGGAACCACAAAGGTTGATACAGATCGGCACGTAGGAAGACATTCATTCTGGCGCAACACGGGTGAGGCTAGCAACAAGACAGGAGGCATTGGGACGTACAATGCATATGGGTTTGCTGGATTTGGACGTGATTGACTAATTGCATGATTCGGCACGATGAACTGGGCCGATGCACCGGGCGGTCCATATGCGGGTGGGCCGAAAGTGGGCCAAGTAAAATGCGCAGATGAATTGTCGGAAACGTGTAGAGACGCGGCGGGCGGCGGGATGTACTGAGTCGTCGACGCCGGAGTTTGGTACGCGCTAGCAGGATAAAAGTGTGATGGAGTTTGCACTTGACCAGAGGCGGGAGACCTCGGAGTACTGAAGGCGCCCGAACCTGGTGAGCTTGGCCCGGATGCCTGTGTTCCGCTTGAGCGCCCCGGATACGAGGCGTTGCCTAGGTCGCGTGGAGCGGTTGCGCTACTGGGATCTGCAAGCTGCATACCCCCGAAACTACCCTGAGACGAAACGAGCGACCCGCTCGACACGACTGGCGTGCCGCTCGGCCCCGCAGCCGTCGTATCCCAACTCGAACCAGGCTGAGACGCGACCTCGCCAGGTTGAAACACGGTCTCGTTTGAATGTGAACTGTGTCGCTTGGCAGCAGACTG